AGATCCAAAAAGGATTTTATATAGATTACTAGGGAGGATCCACTAGGGATCCCTATAATGCTGGCATCTCCATATGAATGCATGGAGAATATACCCCAAAGAGGCGTGCGTTCTCTGTCTATTCCTATGGAGATTCCACTAGAGGGCACAATACTGCTGTCATCTCAATAGGAAAACATGGCAAGCCTCACAGAGAGAATTGCAATCCCATAGATTCGCATGGATACTCCACTGAGGGGCATCATAATGCTGAGATGTCCATACGAATACATGGACAATATACTCCAGAAAGGAGTGCGTTCTCTGTCATTTCCTATAGAGACTTCACTAGAGGGCATGATATTGCTTACATCCCTATAGAAATACGTGGAGAATGTGCTCCAGAGAGGTGTGTGTCTTCTGTCTATTCCTATGGAGAGTCTACTAGAGGCCACTATTGTCCTGGCATCTCAATAGGAAAACATGGCAAGCATCCCAGAGAGGAGTGCAATTTTATATATTCTTGGGGAGGCTCTCTGGTCGTTGGTGGTGGTGGTGGGGGAGGGGGCGCACTATAATGCTGGCATCTCTATAGGAGTACATGGAAATAGGCCTCGGAGATGACTGTGTTCTGCAAATGTTCATGTAGAGCCTACACTGGGGGGAATGATACTGCTGGTAACTCCATCCCAGATAGCAAGCAATTGAGCTGCAAGTTTGAAAATGACTTGCTAATCAAATTGCTAGACTTGCCAAGCTTCACAATTTTGTTGCACAATTATAGCAAGTCTGCATTGCAAGTCTACAGATCAACATGCTTTGCAAAAGTGCTGTACACTCGCAGAGCTCTTGCTAAGACCTGCAGAACTCTTGCTGTAGACCTGACAAGCAAATTTGCTACAAATTCAAAAAGTGTCAACTAGAACTTGTGCTGCAAGTGTTCTGCAAGTCTACAACTTGCCAGGAATGTGTGCAGCAAGTTAACAAGAATTACAATTTAACCCTGCCAGAAGTTTGTGGCAAGTTATCCTTGCTATCTGGAATATCCATTGGAATATATGGAGAAGGTGCCACAAAGAGAAAAACCAAGCTTACCTTAAAGCTCATTTATATTACTCAGCTGTGTATTTAGCTTTAGTTTGATTGGAGTTTTTAGAATAATTCTTAAAGCATGTTAGTGATGTCATTTTTATGATTTGTTCTCTTTATTTGTATGGTAATTTCCCCAACCTGGGTGGGGGGGTCCCCTTTTCCACGTCACATCATACCCTCCCAGACAGGTAGCACAGAGGAAACTGTGGTGGGGACATCCCCTTCCTCTCTCTATAAGGCAGCTACATACTATCTTTTTGCAGATGCCGATAAAGCAAAGAAGACATGGCAGGAAGCTGGCTGCGACTCCTAGCTGTTCTCTTAGCCGTCTTGGTGGTGTGTGACCTCGGCATCGATGCCAACTTGCAGGTGAGTGATTGCGGGCATTCACGGGTTAACCAACAGGTGTGGCACAGGGCTCACTGTCCTCACCAACAATAATGGGAGATATTATCTGTCTGTTGCCTTTTTAGCTGGTTACACTGTGTAGAAAGGCATGTAAGCTTGCAAAACAGGATGTGGCCAAATTATATTTATTACTTGTATTTGTACAACCCTGACATGTTTCTCAGGGCTCCACAGAGTGCGCGTTCACCGGTCTCTGGCCTACTGGAGCTTACGCCAGAGCTGCCAACTGTTCCTGACTTCCAGGAACGGCCGTTGGTTAGAAAAAATGTGTCCCTGCAAATTTTCGTTGCTATTTTTAGCTTCCGCCGCTGGCCAGATGTATCGGGAAGTTCTTATAGCTCTGCGTTATAAACTCGATCATTATCATTACGAGCTGAAAGATCTTACGTGCAGGAAAAGCTCCAACTCCCTCTAAGAAATGGATGAATGCTTTTGCCCAGTCACAACGGCCGATGATAACGATGGCAGCTCAAGCAAAAGGCGATTCAAAGGGAGGGCAGGTAGATGACCACTGGTGGCTCTGACAGATTTTCCCCATTTGTGGTCTAACTGAAGCAGGACACAAATGTGGCAAATTCCTACATTATATAATTGAAAAGATAATTTAGCAGCCTATCGAAATTTCAAGTGACACTAAACTCAGGAGTTAAATCTTAAAAATGCATTCAAGTACCTTAACTATTAACAATACCGGACCTTATTTGTGCATCACAGAGCTGTAGATCCTCAAATCATCTCTGAATTGGTGCTGACACTGTCCTTCCTTCTGGAGGTGGGCTACTTTTGTTCCCCATGGTCCCTGAGTGTAGTGCAAAGTAGTCACCGCTCCAAGCTCCCTCCTGTGATGGACTACAATTTCAATACAAATTAGTAAACTAAATATGAGATTGTAGTCCATCACAGGAGGGAGCTTGGAGCGGTGACTACTTTACAGCACACACAGGGACTATGGTGAACAAAAGTAGCCCCCTTCCAGAAGGACGAACAGTGTCAGCACCAATTCAGAGATGATTTGAGGATCTACAGCCGAGTGATACACAAATAAGATAAATTTTTTGTTAATAGTTAAGATACTTGATGCATTTTTAAGATATAACTGAGTTTAGTGTCACTTTAATTAGAAACCCAAACAAATCAATATTCTACACTAGTAGATTTTTGTATGAACGATCATGTGACAGATCCCGTCAGAATATTCGATAATGTCATCAGAGCCTTAATGAATCCCATTCAAACTTTCTTTTAGTTTAACCATTCGGTTTTGGAAATATATAGAGTTTCCTAAATGTAAACCACATTCACTGTTAGAATTTCTTTCATTCAAGAAAAAAATTCCACCCTGATCCTTTGAATTTTTTGTCACTACTGTCAAAATGATTGTCAATTTGACCCCATTAACTATAAGGAAATTGAACAAACGTACCAAAAATTTATTTTTCAAATGATATTCTGCTGGTGAATGGCCAGATTTAGTAATATTTTTCTTAAAGTACACGTAAAGGCAATTTTTTTTTAGTTTAGGATAGAGTAGGGAAGGGTTAGACGCTTTGTTAAGTTTTTACTGCTATCTGTGTTTCTGCTGGAAAGATTTAGCCCTCTGGCTTGGTGACCATTACAGAGTATTTGAGGTTGAATAAAGACACAGGTCCATCGAGTTCAACCTTTATGTGTAAGTGTGTGTGTATATGAGACCCTGTGTGGTCTTAGGTTTTAAGAGTACCTGTAACCCTGCATGTTACGGTCTCTGAGGACAGTATCTAATTAATTTTTTCATGATTCAATACTCTCTGCTGATACCACTGCTTGTGGCAGAGAGTTCCAAAATGTAACCACTCTGACTGAGAACTCGATGGACTTGTGTCTTTTTTCAACCTGACTAACTATGCAACTATGAAAAGAATCCCCTACGCCCTTTGTGGTTAAATCTTTTCTCCACCAAGTTTAGGTGGTGACCTCTAGTCTTTGTTATGGAGTTTACAGTAAAAAAGTTTATTGCTGATGTTGCCAACACCACGAAACATTTTTTACATTAAAATCATGCCCCCTCTTAATCCATCGTTTCTGAAACAGAAAGTAAGGGGAAATCCAAAAATATTGAGTGTTCAACAAAGCAAGAGGCGAGGGAAAATCCTCCATTGAGGTCATATGTTTTGTGATAAAGGTCTAAGATGGGAATTCTGCACACTTTAGAAAGATTTCCTGTTGCGTTTCCATGACATTGGGTAAAGGGAAATCTCCCTAGCAGGATACGGACAGTAAACAATAACCTGATTGGGATTTTACCTCTTTCCTTCTGTATAAAATAAATAAATAAAAGGTTTAAAAACACTAAGCTGAGCATGCAATCTGATTGTACAAGCTCCTTTAGATCTACCAAGCCCTCTATAAGGGCAAAGACCTGCCTCACTGGGTGCATGTTGATTGTTTAGGTTGGCCCTGATGCAGCAAATAGAATCTCTAGATTTAACTGCAGTGTGCAAGACTAAACGTTAAGCTGGCCATACACTCTGTGCTTTTTCTTGTACAGCGTGGTTGGGGGAATTCCCCGGCTGGGGCTATTGTTTTGTCACCCTTTGGCAAAAATTTTGAGACCGGCTCCTGATTTTTCAATCCACTTTTGTTGAATAGAGGGGTACCGATGGGGCCACACACACTCATCAAAGTTTGGCCAAGTCATTAGGACTCTGAAATTCGACCAGTGTATTTAGACTTTCATTTGATCAATATTCCATGTTCTAAACAAGAAGATCAATTAAGAAAAAACATATTTTAACTCAACCAAACATGCTGCAACCTCATAGACGTTTTTCAAACTGATTGGCATCTTTTTGAATAATAAAAAAAGAGGCCAGTTGGCAGCTCTGCCTTGAGTGTGGTCCTCCCTTTGGCTGAGACTATGTTCTCAATGCCCTGGCATTGGTCACCGGACCACAACTGGGAAAAACACTTGAGTGGAATTCCAGCTATTTTTTTTTTTATGGCAAGTTAAAAGGAAGTCAGATAACCCCTGAACATTGTTGATATTTAATAAAATTCTATAGAACAGGATTGATCTTGTCAGACCAAGCTGTTGACATTCTATGAGGAAGTGAGCAATAGTTTAGATAAAGGAAGGGCAGTAGACGTAATTTATCTGGATTTTGCAAAAGCATTTGACATTGTGCTTAATTTACCAACTAAGGATTATTGGAGTGGAGTCAACTGTATGTACGTTAATAAAAAGTTGGCTTCAGGAGCGGGTACAGAGAGTAGTGGTAAATGATTCAGTCTCCGGGGTGGGCTAGACTTGAGAGAAGTGTGCCCAAGCTTTCTGTGTTGGGGTCAATGCTGTTTAATTTGTTTATAAACAACACTGAGGTTTGAATTAGGAATTCAATTTCTGTATTTGCTTATGATATAAATTATGCAGATAAATAACATCAACACAGGATGTAGCCCTATTAGAGGAAGACCTCCTTAAAATATGGGTATGGGCAGAGACTTGGAAGTGCTGAAAAATTCAAAGTTATGCATTTGGGTGCTAAAAATGTGCTGGCAGGATACTCATTAGGAGTAGTTATACTGGGGGAATCAGAGTTGCAGAAAGATTTGGGGGTCCTAGTGGACCATAGACTTAGTAATAGCCAGCCAATGCCAAGTGGCTGCTAGCAAAGCAAGCAGAAAACAGGCTCTACCTGAACATACCCTTTTGATCATGTCCGTATGGCTACCTTTGGCGACCACACTCTACTAGCAGAGGTTGAAGCTGCTGTTAAGCATTTGTCAGCTTTCAGCATTAGACTGGCCTTAAACACCCACATACCTTTCTGATCTGAAATTCCAGTGGGACACTGGCACGGTTTGAGCTGTTTAGGGTAGCACCCTAGAAGGAAAAAACTCAAACTCAATAGCTCTGGTAAGGAGGCTCCCACACAGCAAAGTTCCCTTCATTGGGTACCTAACAGTAGCTCAAACCATAGAATTTTAGAAAAGAGCACCAGACCAAAAAGGAATGAAAGGGTAATGCAGTAGCAGATCAGCAGCTGTTATTCTATGAAGAGAGTTTAATATCAGTTCTAATACAGAACTGTGTGATCAATATTTTCTCTGAGTCCATCCAAGTTTATCTTGTGATGAGCCACATGAAGGGGGGATTGATTTTTGTGCCCAAAACATGTTGGCTGTTTTCATATGACCAACAATTAAAAAATGATCTTGGACTCTTTGGTAATTCTATGGTTTGAGCTAATGTTGGGTACTCATTGAAGGAAACCTCCTCCAGAGCTATTGAGCTGGTTTGAAGCTTTTCCTTCTAGAGTGCAACCCTATATAGCACAAACCTTGCTAAAGTGTCCCACTGGGTATTCTGCTCAGCAAGGTATTTGGATGTTTAAGCCTAGCCTAATGGTGAAAGCTGACAAATACTTAACAGCAGCTTCAGCCTCCATAGTGTTCACCCTAGGGAGTCATACGGGCACTATTAAAGGATGATGTTCAGGTAGAGCTTACCGGTCCATTGATACAATATTATGGAGTTAGCCAGCTTGAGAAAAGACGCATCTACATTGAATTCAAAGGCAAGTAAAAAAATAAAACCTGCATTCCCAGAGCCCACAGTTGATCCAGAGGAAGGCAAAAAAACTTTTAAAGTATGATCCAATTTCGCTCTAACAGGAAAAAAAATCCTTCCTGGTCCCAAAGGCAAGCGAATGCTCTCTGAATAAACACTCTACATGGCTATTTGTCATAAATATATAAACCAGTTATATATTGTACTTTTAGAAACCCATTTAGCCTTAAAGCAATCTGCTGCATTGACCAGAACAAGCTCTTGTGGAAGACTATTCTCACAGCTCCTATTGTAAAGAACACTCTCCAGTCTCTGACAATGGCCGTATCCACCACCATAACTATTCTGCCGTGTTAACTTGCAGTGTTTGGCTAGTGATAAGGCAACAAGGAAGCTGTAAAAGAGCTTTGATTATAAGAAGCAATTTAAAGAACCAGAATTTATTTCCAGTGTGTATGCATTGTTTTTTTTAAGCCGCCTTTGGTGTTCCAACCATGCCCCCTCTGTCTTATCCTCGGCAATGGCATGATGCATCTGATAGTTCCACACTGACCGGTGGGCAACAGATTGCCTACACTTCGTTCAAACACGCAGCCATGGACGGGTTAACCTTTACAAGTGTACTTGCTGCGCATCAATTATGTATGAGCTTATGTACTACTCTGTGCATTAGCATCATTTACAGAATGTCACACTGATAAAAGTTTAATTGAACTGATAAGCCAAGTGAGAGGAAGGGGCCGAAAAATGTGCAGAGATGGGAGTGAAGGTTATTAAGATTATTATGACAAATAAAGATCCAGGGGAAGCAGATAATCAATGTTTATAGTGGTCTAGTGGAGGGCAGATATATCCTAGCTAGCTGTGAGTGGAAAGGAAGAGGGAGAGAGAAATATCGCTATAATACACCCCATTGTGTAGCATCTTCCCTGAACTATGTCTGTAAAACCAACAAGGTCTGAGCAAATGTATTTATAACACTGATAGTCACAGTTGCCACAAAACCAATCATTTTCTCTTTTTTGGTTGGGTAAATTGAAGCATTTTGTTATATCTGTTCGATAAGTAAAAAAAAAAAAAAACATTGTGGAAAAGATTGTTGATGTCATGGAGAAAAACAGAGAGGTGGGGTGTGGGGTAGTCTTAAAATACTTCCTGTCCTAGGGTGATAATGATGTCCTCCACTGATACAGTATGGTGGGCGAGTGTTGTCACCATGGGGGTCGGAAGTGTGTTACTGGTAGGATCAAGAGGTGAAAAAAAAGGGAGAAAGCCTGAGAAAAGAAAACTAATGCACCCACATCTAAGTAATGGTAAGCTGCAATCAGGGCCGGATTTCCCATGAGGCCAACCACGACCTGGCCTCGGGGTGGCATGGAGCAGAGGATTCCTATCGCCCGGGACATGAAGTTCCGGGCGCCGGGTGGGTAGTTTTGTACATTTAGCCCTGCTTTGGGCAAGCAGAGCTAAATGTTCAGCGCAGCCTGCTCGTCCTGGGGCAGCAGAGAGAATAAATCTGGCCCTGGCTGCAATATATTCTACTTTTGAATCTAGGTTTAGATATATTGTATACCACCTGACAGTCTCTTATATATCTTGGGGACTCATTTACCCTTAAAGCAGTCTCGAGTATTGAGTAGAACTAACCCCAATGGAAGACTGTTCCACATTTCCATTTATTGTGGCCTCTGACTGTTATCAGTTACATTGTTTCCATCTATTGCTTGCATTGCAGAGGACCTCTCATCCTACGTTATAGAGAAAAAGAGAGAGGGGGTGTTCTGCATTCCTAAAATACTTCCTGCCCTAGGGTGACAATGCTGTCCACAGATACAGTATGGTGGGTGAGTGTTGTCACCCTAGGACAGGAAGTTTGTTACTGGCAGGATCAAGGGAAAAGCCTGAGAAATGAAAACAAATGCAGCAACCACATCTTAGGACTTGTAATGTGCAATATAATACATTTTTGTATCTGGGTTTAGATACACTTTAAACCATCTGACAGTTTTTAAAAATATCCTGGGGGCTCTGTTGGTGAGAGTTTTGCACAGAGTTCTAAAAACCTCCTGTGGCCATTATGAGAAATTCCCAGTCTCTGTGTTGGATTTTTATTGATTTTAAATGATGGAGAATGTAACAGGAGGAGCCAGAACATACAAATGTGAGATAATTAATACCAAATATGTCTATTAGCCCCGATTAAATGGACACAGATCCCCGAAACGTGCTGGCTCTCCATACATAATTCAATGCCATATAATGTACACTGAGTGGCCAGATTATTATGACCACCTGACGTTTGTAGGCAAATTGGCTATAATTTTGCGCTGAAGTTGCTAGAGGGCCAGACCATTATAAATAGGGAAGCAGGTTGTTTACCACGACAGTAGAAGTGATTGGTTTCTGAAGATACGGGGAAATAACGCGATTTAACGCGATTTAACAGCCTTTCGTGGGATGATTGTTGGCGCTCGGAGCCATGGAGCGAGTATCAGCAACAGCAGAACAGCAGAATTCGTTAAATGTTCAAGAGCAGCTCATTGTTAAAGTGTTTAAAGACCGGACTGTCAGCCAAAAATCTGGATCTGAACGTGCGAATTGTGGCCGTCAGCGACTAGTCAATGTTAGGGCAGAACGAAGAGTGGCAAGACTGGTACAAGACAACAGAAGGGCAACAGTGCAGGGTCGGATTCCTCGCATCACCTTTCAACATCTCGTGGAGTCACGAGGCGGCCCAACGAAGTCATCTCATGGCCCAACGATGTACTGATGGGGTGGTCATAATAATCTGGCCACTCAGTGTATTGCTCAGTATTAGATGCATTAACACAGCTAATTCAATATTTATCTCACACTGGAGGTACACAGAGAACCCAAATGTTTTACATCTGTAAAACTACAAATAGTTATAAAAATCTGCTATTTCTGCAGCACTTTTACATACCTCCCACCTTTCTGAGATGAGAAAGAACATCTTCCAGCACAATGTATCTAGGCAATGGGCACACCCCTACCACATCTCCAGTTATGCAGACCATTAAGAATTTATATGCCAGATATGATTGATTAAACCCAGAGTTGTTATCTATTTCACCATTACTTTTGCTTTATACGGGCTTTTCGAAAATAGTAAACAAGATAATGAAGAGATACAATTAATGTTTTAGTGCAGAATAACACGTTGGGTAGTTCAATAGAATCTTTCATAGATATCTGTACATCAGACCAAAAAAAAGGACAACTGAGAGGTAAGCAGGAGCAGAGGGATTGGGTTCCAATTGAGGGACAGTTGGGAGGTATGACTTTTATGCAAAAGCCGTTCCATTCTTGGAGCCCGCACTGCAGAGAGCATCAATGATGTGGCTCCCGAAATAAATCAGAAATTATTTTTCTATGATGCCACAAGAATAGTGTTGAACAAACCCATGTATGCCAACTCACCCTTGCCCTCTTCACCAAAATTGAAAAGGTAATGACGGGCCTCAGGTACAAACATATTGTGGTCATCTTGGCCCAGAGCACAGGTGATTTTACAGATGGGGGGCAAGAAAACTGTGAGATGTAAACACTCCCACAGTTTTAAAATAGGAACATTTGTCTACATCTGAAGAGTATCACTTACAAAATTGTCATGCAGGATGAGGGGGATTCAGGGAATGGGGTTAGGTAAAACTGCACTTGACCTTTAACACTTGCAGTGTTACCTGAGTGTCAATTGACTTTGGGCTTGTGTTGATGTTGCTTGTCAGTAGACTGTGTCAATGGACTTTGGGCTTGTGTTGGTGGTTTTTGTCAATGGACTGTGTCAACGGACTTTGGGATTATGTCGATGGTCTTTGTGAATGGACTGTATAAATGGAGTTTGGGCTTGTGTTGGTGGTGTTTGTCACTAGGCTGGGTTAATGGACTTTAGGCTTGTGTTGATGGTCTATGTCAATGGACAGTGTCAATGAACTATGGATTTGTGTCGATGGTCTTT